CAGATCGATTTAATACAACTCTGGGCGTTTCTTAGAATTTGGAGGGGGCTTTGGAAAAAGCAAATCTCAAAACAATTCATCCTTTTTTGTGGAAATCCAATCACATATTGTCATCCAGATTAAGGACCCGTAGCCTTTGATGTCTGCGGAGAGAATTACTTGGTAAGATGTTTGTGCTGATTTTGTCCAAGTGAGGGATGCACAACAGCATTAGGAATTTAGACAAAATATCAAAATTAAATCTGCAGGCTCCAAATGCTGGTGTTTGGCTTCTCACATGTGTTCTCCCTCGCCGATGGCTGTTCCCTCTACCATCCTACAGCAGAAAATGTCCTTGAGCCACACGTGACTTCACGGATGGCAGAACTCCCCCCCCTCCCCTCTCCCCGACGTGCAATTTGTTCTTAGCGCGAGCACTAACAAATCATACATAATGTAACAGCCAAGCAGCCAGCCTCGGATTTGCATGAGATACTTTTTTACTGCGTTTATCCGGGAGTTTTCCTGCTTTAGATGTATTTACCCAAGAGGAATAAGTTCTGCTCCGGGGAAGTTTTGATTCGAGGCAGGTCCCCGGCTGGTGGGATGAGAAGGTCAAGCGGGGGCATCTGAACCCCGACTCCTTCCCCTTGCAAGAAGTGGCCCCAGATACCATTGTTTGGGTCCTAATTAATACATTTTCCTATTCTCAAAACATCAATTTTTTTTCCAGAGCTGGGATTAAGACATATGTGTGAATAATCCACATAATTCTTGTGGCTCCTACAGAGCCTCCTTAGCTGGGCGATGCGCTAAAATACGGGATTCCCACCAGCACGTGGATAATTGCAGTACGGTCAGTATTTCAAAAATACCTCACCCTCTGTCTTAAAATCCTCCTGAAATGATTAAGGGATTTAAAAATAATTTGAGAATGCTTATAACTTTGTTAAAGCATGGCCCTCAGCTCCTGAAACTTGGGATGGCTGAGCTTTATTTCCCAGCCAAGCCTTGGCACCCAACGAACCCTCAGCCAAGTGTGGGAGAGTCACTGAGGTCTTGGACTAATTTTACAAATTTATGCAATTCTTTCTCAGGAGTGTAGTTATAGCCAGATTTCTAAATGTCAAAACACAGATTATAAGAGTACATATGCAGATTACAAGAGTACATATGCAGATTAGAAGGGTACATATACAGATTAGAAGAGTATCAAGCTTCATTTTGTCCTCAGTTCACGGGTAATTCCCATTTATTTTCACAGTTGCTGTTGTCCCTGTGTATTGTGCCAATGTCATGAAACAGGCAATGCTCATTCTCATCTTCCTCTCACCGATTTTAAACCCTCGTTGGGATGGAAGAAAATTTGGGTTTGGCCTTGGCAGCCAAAGCTGCAGTCCCTTGGCGGCGGGCTGAGCCGTGAGTGGCAGTCAAACTGCTTGAACCCTATTTTTCCCCTATTTTTCCCCAAATGAGAAGTTTTTATTCAGTTTGGGGCGGTGCTTTCTGATTTTAAGTCCTAACCCCTCATGGCCGCGAAAGCAGCAGGAGCTCTGTTTTAAACATCTGCCGTGCCACGTCATGGTAAATTTTGGGAACGAGCCAAGGTTGGACCAGAATTAGCAAGTCCTTGTGACCTTAAGAATCACAGAATCACAGAATCTTCTAGGTTGGAAGGGACCTCAAAGATCATCTTGTCCAACCGTCAACCTAACTGACAAAAATAGACACCCACACAACAAACAAGAAGCATCACCATCACTAAATGGTATCTCCAAGCACTACATCAACCTGTCTTTTGAACACAGCTTCTCCTCTGTCCCACCAGCCTCCTCAGATCGTGTCGCCTCACAAGGCCCCGGCGAGAAATAAGTTCTTTTCATCCACCAAGAACTCAAATACGACATTGATAAGTCCTGCAGAAGAGATAACAAACGGGTATGTGTTCAGAAGAAGGTTTTTGAACAGGGTCCCTAAATGAGGCAGGGATTGCACGCTGGCCCGGGAGAAGTACAGATGTTTCTGAAGAGCTGCTCGTTAAGGTGACAATATCACTCTGCAGGCTGAGTAGGTTCTCAGGAAAAAAATAATACGTGATGGTGAAATTAATGATTATCACTGTGTACTCACAAGGGAGCCCACGTTTCCGACACAGGGGAAATACGCATTTCCTGATACACAAGTGTTTGACCTTAAACCTTAATAATGTTCTTTTAATGTACGTCCCATTTAGCTCCATGGCAGAAAGGAGGAGGGAATGGGATGTGTGAGGTTCATGTTTTATGTATATTGTTTAATACCTTCCACCGATGCTTCGGTAGCTGGCATTGCACGGAGAGATATTCGGGTGGCAATTTTAGATTTAAATCACCAAGCAGTCATTGTGATACTAAAAGCACTTGTTCTCGGCTGGTTTATTACAGTTGTAGGAAGTGTTCAGGCAGATTACTTGTGAGAGGAGAAGAATGTGTTTTGATATTCCCCTAAAATCTTATGCTAGATCAGTAGTCATTACCACAGATAACACTAGATTGTATATATGTTATTAATATACGCATAATGCTTCCTTCTTGGAAGGAAAGTGAAGAAACTGTGAAAGTCTAGGAAGGAATCAGGTCTGAAGAAAAATGGGGAATTTGAACTAAGCAAAGCAAGAAACTCTGCCATATAAATCAAAATCCAGGCTGCGTGTGAAAAATACCGATGGAAAATGTTAACCCCCGCTGCGTTATCCCCCTAGTTATCAAGATATGGGAAAAGGCATTAAAGTTAAGAGTATGACATGAATAATAGTTTTACGGGGATTAACATATCTGGAACAGCTTCCCTAAGGAATGACAACAAGCAGGCGGTTTCGGAGCAGGCGGGGGTGTCTTGTAGCTTATCAATTGTCACAAGTGCCCAAAGCCCCAGGGTTTCTCTGGGTGATGCTGGCAGCCTATGGACCAGTAATATAACTTTTTAAATATTTTTTTTTTATATATATGTGTATATATATATACACATTATATAATGATGTTACTGGGAAGCATGCTAGTGGAAGGTCTGCGGTCATGATGAGTAAGTGTTCCATGTGCGTTAAAGTTTCCACATTCCTAACATAGCTGGATGCAGGAGAATTTTCCATGTGAGCTGTGCAAGAGAGCTATCTCCCCCAGCACCAATTCCTTCTCCAAGCACCCTCACTCCTGGCCATCACCAAGGAATAGGTGACACCAGCACCAGCTTTGGTGCATCTTGCCTCCATCTGTACAGAGGTGACCGATGAACTGATAGGGAGCAGATGTTCCTACCCAGCTCCCAACGCTCCTGGCCAAGCCAAGCCATCACCAAGGAACGGGTGGCATCAGCACCAGCTTTGGTACATCTTGCCTCCATCTGTATGGAGGTGACCGATGAACTGATAGGGAGCAGATGTTCATACCCAGCTCCCAACTCAGCATGAACAAAGAGCTCTTTCAACCCCATCTTCTTCTCTCCTTGTATTCGACAGATATGCCCCCGTGGGTATGTTGGGCTCACAAAGAATTGAGAGCCAGAGCTGAACCTCCAGAGCTCTATCCCACCTGCATCTGCCCGTGAGGCCGCCACGTGTTTCAGTGTGGAAGGGAATGAAGAAACAGTATTTTCTGCACCCTGGAGAAGACATGAGAGCATTTACACAACTGTATTATTCCAGAATTATCACCTGAACAAAGGAGAGAAACCCAATTTGCTGTGAGCAGTTCAAGTTTCCTCACTGCTTATTAGCTGCTCTCCCATTCCATCATCCCTCCAAAGAGCTGAAGCCGTGTTGGTGGACAGCAGGGATGGTTGGAAACTGCAGAGTAGCTGAGACCAGCTTTCAATTTCTTTTAAAAACAGAAAGATGGTAAGCTGACTGCTCTAGCTTCTCAGTAAGGCCGTATAGATAATGCACCCACTGCAAATTTTAGTGTTTTGCTCATGATTTCCAAGCAGAATCCAAGGCTTAAATTCTTTGCAAAATTCATTAGAGCTGAGCAACTTGACCAGCTGAAGATGTGACGCACGGGAACAAAATCAAGAGCATTAGCACCGAGTTTGGAAAATGTCATGCTTGGGATTCTCTCGTCTGCGTCACTGGAGGATCTCCCTGAGGTCAAACATGCGCATTGTGTTTGCTTTCTGTTTCGGGATGTTGTAAAACTTGACGAATGCCTCACGTTTCAGCCCAGAACTGATAGGGAGCTGGTCTGTGACAGGATGACTCAATAGGTGATGCCAAGACCCACCTTCACGAGGGCTCACAAGCCACACCTTATTGGGGGGCTGTTGTTTTGGGGAAGATTTACCCCGCAGTGTTGTTACGGAACAGCTACTTCAGTGAGAGCGGTGTTCGGCCCTCCGGTGAGCCTAAGTCAGTTTTAACTTGGTTTTGTGTCCAGGAAGCTAAAAAAAAAGGAGCATGTTAGTGGTGGGGACGCTTTATGGTATCCCAACTCCCTCCTTGTGACCATCTTTTGAGTGAAAAAACCCTTTATCCACAACTCGGCCTGGCTGAGCCTGCTCCGTAGTGCAGGTGAGGCCGAAGCCAGCGGCCCTCCTCAGCCCGGCCTGCAGCCCTGGAGGAGCCTCGGTGGCCAGCAGCCGCCCTGACAGGCCTCGCCGCCCCTCTGGAGGCCACAGAGCCCCTCAGGCCACAGATTCCCTTTCGTAGCATTGAGATTTATAGATTTTTTTTAAAAAAAACCCCACCATTCATGAGGCATCGCGCCCCTCCGCGCCTCCCCTCTCTCCCCCCCCACCCAGGCTGCGGTGCCGGGTGGCTCCCCTAGGGGGCGCGCTGCTCCGCCGGCCCGCCCGGCAGCGCGCGGCCAAGGGGGCGGGCCACAGCGGCGGCGGAGGGCGGTGATTGGCGGCTGCGAGGCTATAAATAGGGGCGAGCGGCGGGGGGACAAAGCAGTCTGCGCGGGACCGGCGGGCGGGCAGTGCGGAGGCGGCAGGTCCCGCGGCTCTGCCACTGCCACCGGGGGTTTTTCTTCCCTTTTTTTAAAAAAAAACCTATTTTTTTTTAAAGGAACCGAGTGTATTTTTTTTTTCTTTTTTTCTTTTTTTTTTTTTTTTTTTTTTTTAATTTTTTCTGTTCGCTGTGGCCGGCCGAGGGACTAAGCCGAGATCAATGAAGGAAAGAAGAGCCAGCCAGAAGTTATCGAGCAAGGCGGTGATGGATCCCAACCAGAACGTGAAGTGCAAGATCGTGGTGGTAGGGGACAGCCAGTGCGGGAAGACCGCCCTGCTTCACGTTTTTGCCAAGGACTGCTTCCCTGAGGTGAGCCGCGGGGGGGGACACCGGGACCGGCAAGGGGGGGTTTACCGGGACCGGGGCGATGGCGGTGCCGGTCTGACCGTGCGCTGTCTCTCTCCCGGCAGAGCTACGTCCCCACCGTTTTCGAGAACTATACGGCCAGCTTTGAGATCGACACGCAGCGCATCGAGCTCAGCCTCTGGGACACCTCGGGTGAGCCGGGGTTGTGGGGTGGGATGAGGGAGATGTGTGTGGTGTGTGGGGAGGAGGGGGGGGGATGATCGTTGAGGAGCCGCCGCTGCCCCTCGGTTTGGGGGGGTGTCGGTGTGTGTGGAAATGGGGGATGAGGGGGCAGGAGACCGGCCCTGCTGCCTCCCATCCCCTCACCGGGGCTGCCGGTCTCTTAGAGGCGGTCGAGCGGTTGCTTTTTTTAAAAAATCTGAGGTAAAGTTTAGCGATCCACGTAAGGAGGGAAGGGGAGAGAGAGGGTGTGGGCAAAAGCTGCGGGGAAAGATTTGTCAGCGTTGCGGGGCAGGGGTGCGGTGTGGGCGCTCCCCCCGCCCGGCTGGAAGGAGCTTATTTATCTGAGGAGCTTCAGCAGCCAAGGCACCTTTGCTCCTCCACTACCCTGACACCCTGGGAGAAGGGTGAAGAGGTGTCTGTGTGTCCTCATGGTAAATAAATTCCTTGTGGCCTCCTTAACACCTTCTTTCCTGTGTTTTAGAGAGTCTTTAAAGCCAGTAGAGACTAGGTAGGTGGGCACCTCCAGCTCTCTGAGGATGCTGAGGGAACCATCCTTCCTCACGTTGTGTGTAGGGTCCTCATTGCTCTTCCAGCAGTGCCATGTTCAAAAACCCTGGCTGGCGTGCCTCCAAGGATGAGGTTCTTGGTATCTTTGCTCTCACGTTAGGCCAGGAACTCCTCTAGGTCCTGCTGCTGTTGATAACTGGACTAAGGTCACTGCCAGGGTGGTGAGGATGGACCCCTGGACTTGTTGGGACTTGTCACCTTGGCGCTGGAGAGGAGTGTGGACAGCCAGAGGGGTCTTCTGCTGCTCAGTGACAACACACGGGGAGAGGTGGTCAGGGGTGAATGACACCAGGAACCATTAATGCCAGCGTGGATCAGCATTTTTCTGCAGAAGCAATTGGGGAAAAAAAGCTGGAGGAACTCAACAGAGCAAGCCCAAGCCCCTTCTTCTTTAGGCAGGTTGTGTAGATAACGTGTTGATGCTGAATTTGGACCCAGCTGTTCCTTCCAAATACAAAAGCAGTCCTTCTGCTGCTCAGTGACAACACACGGGGAGAGGTGGTCAGGGGTGAATGACACCAGGAACCATTAATGCCAGCGTGGATCAGCATTTTTCTGCAGAAGCAATTGGGGAAAAAAAGCTGGAGGAACTCAACAGAGCAAGCCCAAGCCCCTTCTTCTTTAGGCAGGTTGTGTAGATAACGTGTTGATGCTGAATTTGGACCCAGCCGTTCCTTCCAAATACAAAAGCAGTTCTTTTACCAGAAATGAAAATGTTAATCCCTTTTTTTTTTAAAAAAAAAAAGGAAATGTTCCTTCCAAATACAAAAGCAGTCCTTTTACCAGAAATGAAAATGTTAATCTCTTTTTTTTTTTAAAAAAAAAGGAGTTTAGGCGGCGAGTTGGCTTTCCTCTTGCTGCGGAGGAAATGATTCCAAATTCTTGCAACACGATTACTGGGAAAAGGCAGTCTCTCTGCCCACAGCCGGTATCAGCGTAGCTCTGAACTGATTTTTTTTCTTCATCTTATGCCAAGTGAGACTTGCAGACTTCTAGAATGTGTCTGCTTTGAGCTTTCATCCTGATTACTAAGCTGGCTGTAACGAACTATACGGAGTGAGGGCTTATTAAAAATTAATAGTTAAGTGATTTTGGAAAATTTTAGCTATTAAAATACAACGTGCTCGCAAGTGAAGTTGTTTGACGTGGGAAGGTTTGGAATCTGTATGTCAAAGGCTGGAGACACCCATGTAATGAAATATTCTGTAGCACTTCAAAAGACAAAAAGCAGTGGAAGAAAACACCTGCCAGCCTTCACGTGTGCATGTTGTCCTCTTGGGCCTGTCCTGGAACTAATAGAAAATTTGACTTGAGTCAGAAGCTTAAGATCAAGAGGCTAATTTGTCTGCAATCTGAAACCAAAGAGGAAATGTTTGAAAGATCCAGTGCTTTGGTCTCATAAAGTGTTACTTGAGCAGCGGATCCTCTGGTTGTGGGACTGTGGATGAAAAAGTGTCTCTCCCTAAACAGCCCTTCTCACCGACTGCCAGAAGAAATGGGTTGATTCACCCGATCCCATTAACCCACTGCAAAATCACATCACCAGATAAGGGACATCAGAAGATAAGATAGTGTTTTAGCATTATCTGAAATTCTTGGTAACTTAATTCTTACAAGCCTTTGTCCTAGTCCTCAGCTGAATTAGAATAAATGTCTTGGTGACATTTTTAAAGCAGGACTAGATCTAGTTAACTTAGTTAACTTCATCAGTTAACTGATGAACTGCCAAATGCTAATGGAAAATGATGTCCATTGCAACAACAGGGAGGTAATGGCTCCAGTCATTTGAGGTACTTCAGTATCTCTTGGGGGAGGGCAGGAAGGACACAGTTTAGCTGAATTTGATTGCAATATACTGCAGATACTTTCAAGATGACTGGATCAGTATTTAGTATCCATCTTTAGCCCTTTTAAACTATTTTCTAACTGGGAGCATGCAACAGGTTGCCTCGCAAATTAGTCCAGAGCTTGAATCAAAGTAAAAGTTGTGTTTTGCAATGAATCCTTTGGAAGGAAGGTGCTGCCACTTTGAGTAATTTTTATTTTTATTTTTTTTGCTCACTGAGAAAATGAGAAAAGCTCTAGGCACTGGTTCTAATAGCCTTGTGTTAGGGTGAGAACTGGCCCTGCTGTCACAGTTTTAGTTTACAATCCTTTATATAATAATAATAATGTGTTTTTTTACTAGAGAACTCAAGTACAAAATGTAGAGAGTCACGCAATTGATAGAACCTTTTAAAGCAAGCTGTAAATTCATTGAAAAGTTTGGTTTTGGTGGGTTTTTTTATATCTTGGATATACCAATAGAAATATGGGACAAAACACTCTTGGAGTAAGAGTGGAATGGGAAGACTCATTATTCAAATATTTTCTAGTACTGTCGAGTTCTGCAAGTCATTATAAGGGTTTAAATTAGCCACAGCATTAAGGAGAGCACTTGCCAACTTGAATTTCAATTGGTTTTTGGACTACCAACCCTTCTTTCAAAGCAGGAATGTCTGGTTGCAATCTAACTACACCATAAATTATTCCACTCTGTGGTAACGTGGTATGGCAGTCGTGAGCTGTTTGGGAGCTGCATGCTTATTTTGCTGGGTAGGTAGAGTATTAGAAGTTTCTTCAGGCTCAAGCTTCATCTTGTAGTTTCATGGACACTGTCAAAAAATACTTGTGTATTAGATGTTTTTGTCTACTGTAGAGCATGGTCTTAATGTGCATTTACCAAGGTTTTGACTGCTTCCATTAAAAGTGGCTACTTTGATAGTACAGCAGTAGCTGTGGCACAGAAATCACATACTATTAATTAGACACACATACCCATGTCTCCTTAAAATATATTTTAGAGGGTTTTTTTCTTGGTTGTACTGTGGAAACTATACTGGATGCTCCAATAAATAATTCTCAACAGGGCCAGAAATACCTATGCACTGGTGGGGATTAGCATATAATTAAATCCAGAAGGGCCTTAGAGCTTTAAATCAGGTTAGCTTTACTGTGATTTGAATGTGTGCAGTGTATTCAGTGTCTATATAGGCACATAATATTAATTACAAAGGTTTTTGGTGAAATCTTTCAGAAGCCTTCTGAAACACAGAGGAATTTAAGTTACTATTTTCTTGAGCTTTCTGGCAGTAAAGCATTGTAAAGGAAATGTCAAATTTCTGTCAGTGCCTTCCAGTTCACTTGCAAGTTGGCTGTATTGAGCCATGTGATTTTTATTTTTTTTTTTCCTTTCATGACAGTGTAGTAGTAACTAGTCTTTATAGGTTGTTTTGCCCTTTAAAGGGGAAAAAATTAGAATTTGGGAATGCCAAGTCTCCTACCAAAGTCCGGTTTCCTGTTTGAGGTGCAGAAATGTAAACACACAAAATACTGTGAATATGGTGATTTGTGTGCTTGGAGATGATGTCTTCTGTGATACTCAGTGTACAAAATCATCTGTGTTTTCTCCAAAACTAGCCAGGGTGGTTTGGGAAGGAGAAAAGCCATCAGCAGCGAATTGACTAGTTGGAGTGGCCGCTGCAGTGTTTGATGTGTTTTCTAGGTAGCCGATAATTAGTGAGTCCAAGGGTTTTGGGAGTGAAAAATGCTGCTGTTCATCTGTTCTTCTTTCAGTTGACTGGAGTCCAAAAGGCTACAAAGACTGATGCCTGATGGCTGCTTGGTGGTGTGTAAATAGTAAAAGCCTTGCCTGTTACTGAGCTCGGCTTCCCTTAGGGCCTGCGGGCGAGCGGAGGCTGAGCAGGAGCTGCCCAGGTTCAGCTCTGGAGGTGGAACATAGGGATGAACCTCCTGCTTGGAACTGGTGGTGGTGGTGGCTTTGGGTCTTGCAGACAAACAGAACGTCAGCTTTCCATGATTTACCATCTTGGAGTGGTGCTAAGCCATCAAAAAATTAAGTATGCTTTAACTTTTTAATGATGTGATTCTGTTATTTATGAAGATAGCAACATTTAAGACTAAGCTTGGTGTCTTCTATAGACCCAAGCCAACCATGTTGCTGGGGAGAGGTTTTATTTCAGTTTAAAAGCTGAACTTGTGTTGTACTTTGCATGAAACATAAGATTTTAAAAGTAGATCGTTCTTAATGTGGTGCTTATTTTGGCTTAAATTATTTAAACTGCCAAACAGATGAGGAAGGGGGGATTGCAGCTGGAATGTACTTCCACCACAAAGTACGATGAACTACAGCATCGTCAGCAATTCCTTGATAAAACTGAAAAAATCATCCATGTGCTGTCCTTGACAAAAATGTTATATTTTGTAGGGACAGAATTACAAACACAAATAGGCTTTTTTTTTTCCCCTACAAACACTATAGCTGCAGCTCTGCATTCTCCTCCTGTTTTCTAGGGTTGGCATGGCTTCAAATCTGCAGACTGACTTGAAAAAAGAGCGAGCCAGCCTCGCTGGGCTGTGCCTGAGTTTTCTGTTCAGACTTGAGCTTCATTCCTGGGATTCCTGGCTTCTGAGGGTTTCTCTGGGCGAACCCATGAAATGCCAGATTGAATAGGCTCGCACAGCCAGGGCCTGCAGCCCCCCCCCCCCTTTATTTGCCCAGTAAGAAGAAAGGTTCGGTTATTGCTGTTGAATGAGACCAGGAAATTTTTCCTTTGTTGATGCTGCAGCCCTGAGTAGTTTAAATGGTTCCCGTTTGTTCTGCCACACACTACCCCGAAGAAAAGGAGGTGTCAAATTTTCCCCCTCCCTCGCATCCCAAGCAGAAGGGCTGCCTGTGAAAGTGCACTTCTTCTGGCTCAGCATCTTTAATATGAGAGGTTCAGAAGGAAAAGCTTAAAACGAAGAACCCTCTAAACAAACAGAGCTACAGCTGACACAGTAGAAAGGAGTCTCTGGGCTGGAGGTGGTGAGTGTGTGTATACATAAATACACGCTGATGGACATATATGGTGTGTTGCATCCCTGAAGACTTGGTGAGTGAGAAGATAGGTATGTGTCTAAGGAATTAGTTTCTGGGTGAGGCTTTTTTTGAGACTCCTTTCTAGCCAGCAACCATTTGGCCAAGCATTAATGATCTTCAATCCTGCCCTTACTTGCCTGAGCTTGGCAGGGAGATGTTGCTAGCCAGGCACTGGCTCTCACCAGCATCCAGGCTGTGCTTGGGCCAGTTGAAGGCTGCAGGTGGCTAGTTAACGGCACCCTGCTCTGCAGTTCCTCTGTCTGGGGCAAATAACTTGGCCCTGGGGCTCCAGAATAAATAACTTGGCCCTGGGGCACCAGGATGGAGGCACCATAATAGTAGGGCTGGAGATAGCTGGGGAATAATTAGTAGTGGAAAGCACTTATTGATAGTCGCTGCTAACAGAGCTTAAATAAATAGTTAATTACTGGTCAGCTCAGCTCGCTTAGATTTCTTTTAACATGTCATTTACAGCTGAAGACAGCTAACTGTTTTTTTGAAGAGCAGTTTTTGACAGCTGCCTCTTTGTCAGATTGACATCATTTATGAAGATGAGCGTTTGAATAAAAGTCTCGTTCAACAAATTACCTTCTGCTACCTAGTTTGGTAATGCTTCGTTCCCCATGTGTTACTCTTCCTTTCAAAAACAACATTCCTGGGATTCTTGACTCTTTCTTTCCAGTATAAGCTGGCCAACTGAAGTCATCTGTGATACGTTCACACCATTCCCTGCTCTGCTTTGTGCAACAGCGTGAGCTGTCTGTCAGTTAAAAACTTGAGGAATTTCTCTAATCCAGTTAATAGTCTGCTCAGCCTCTGAGACCTTACAGCCAATTAGTTCTAGATAGCTGGAAAATTGGGTGATATAATTATCTGATAACCCCCAAACTCTTGAAAGCTGTGTTCTTGTTGCGTATGTTCTCTGCTGTATTTTAGCTTCACGAGAGGAAAAAACCAGAAATAAGACTATATGACTAAGAAAACACATTTTAAGTTGTAGGCATGCGTTTCAAAGCCCAAAGCCCTTGTCCTTTTTGACCACTTAACTGTTTAATTACCCTTCTAAATCAGAAATGCATTCTCCTCAGTAAGTGAAACTTCAGCAGAGTTAAGGCCAAACGGAATGGTTGGCAGAGTGAGTGGAACTTCCTAGAAGAAAGGAAGATTTGTTTATTTTCCCCCCAAACCTGTTACCAGATTCACCAGAAATGAGATTTCTGATTCTGGAGAAATACTTAAAGGGAAGATTTGGGTTTTTTCCTCCCAAACCTGTTACCAGATTCACCAGACGATACAAATGAGATTTCTGATTCTGGAGAAATACTTGTAACTCTGCACACTGTGAGAATTCTTCAAGAGAACAGTGTATCCCTTAACAGCTCTGGAAGTAAAACACACACAGAGTGCAGAATTGAACCTGTTTCTGTTCATGAGAATTCTTCAAGAGAACAGTGTTATCCCTTAACAGCTCTGGAAGTAAAACATGCACAGAGTGCAGAATTGAACCTGTTTCTGTTCCATCCAATTACTAGATTAGCTTTGATCTCATTGATAAAGGTTTGTTTTATGGGCTAAACATAAACATTTATTGCAACCATATATTGATTTGCAGATTAGTGAGGCTTTTTGTGACAGATGACTTTGTGTGCCTGCCTGCAGGACTGGGATTCTTTTCTCCTGGAGCACTGCAACAAATGCTTTAATTTGAAGCAAGAGTTTCTTCTAAAAATTGCCGATATCCATGACAACTAAAGATGACTTTTGCACTTGGATCTATTGTTTTAAATGTTAGAAGAATCAAAACTGATTTATTTCATAACTTCCCGATTTTTTTTTTTTTCCTGTGAAAGCACAACTGTGACAAATCTGCTTTGAAAGGGAGCCTTTTGGAGGCTGAGGATTTGTTCTCCAAGTCAATTCCCTGCAGGTTAATGCTGGGACTTTAAACTTGGGCTGACCCGATTTCCCTTTTCCTTGTTCCTGGGGGCATCCTGAGCTTTTGGTGGGAGATGGATCACTGGGGTGCCATCACTCTTCATTACTTGGCAAAGCTGTTGCTTTTGTAGGTGAGAAACAAAAAAGGAAGTGGGGAAATTAATCACTGCAACAAGTGTTCTGGGAAAAAACAGCACTATTGAAGAGAAGATGGTAGCTGGGTGCTGTTAAAGAGCTTCACTGAAAACCTTTCTAAAGTGTCTGAGTAAGCTTGAATGACTGCAGAAAGTGGAAAAATAAAAACTAATCAAAATCTTGTTTGTTTCCCTGCAGGATCTCCTTATTATGACAATGTCCGCCCGCTCTCCTATCCAGATTCTGATGCTGTCCTGATTTGCTTTGACATCAGTCGGCCAGAAACCCTTGACAGTGTGCTAAAAAAGGCAAGTGTTCACAAAGCATTTTGAGTACAGAACTGTTTGAGTAGCTTGTCTTTAAATCTCTGTAGAACGGTGCTGTTCCCTACCCTGGAAGCTTCAGTTTATTCCTTTTAATGGAGAGATGACAGCACTGCGCTCTGCGCTGCTAGAATTCAAGAGCATTTGTTTGAAAGGGGTGAATGTTAATTGAAAACAAAAAAAACTCCCTAATGGCTGCTGAGGGGTGAAGCAGAATTCTCATTCCTCAGCCCTTAGACAGCAGGGAATTGTTCAGGGTGGTGTGAGGTGCCGGGGCTGGGCGCAGCAAGAAACTGTCTCTCACATTATACTTCTATAACAGACAGGATTGAGAAACTTTGCCATGTTGCAAAGACGGTTGGAACGTGCCTGCCAAGTGTTTGGACTTTTGCCATGGCTTTACATAATTTCTCAGCCTGAAGTTAGAAGGAGCCAGTGACAAATGCCTCTGGAAGCTACCAGAAGACCTATAGTGATGGCACAGAAATGCAGCCCTGCACCAAACTTCAGGGTTTTTTTCCCAAGCTCAGTGATCCAAGATTTACTGCAGGCTTCCCCTGAGTTAAAACGTTGAATTTTGATAATCAGGCTCTGTGTTTGCGAGGTGGTCCCGGTCTTTTCCTTGATCACTGGGCATGACTTTGCAGTGTTGTCTTTAAGGCTTAATGACCTGAAGTTCCTTTTTTCTGTATCTGGGGCCAGTGATTCTTGTGTCACTGGGAATAAAATGGCATACAATGCTCTGAATAGTCCACAGAAAATACTTAAGACTCTTCTCTCAGCCACTAACTGTGCCAACAAGCATCTAGAACTGTCTTTTTATTTTCTGTCCCTGATAATGTCAGTTACTATACTACTGTTGCTTAATTCTGTAAGAGAATTTTCTTAATATGCTTTTAAACATGAATCACATCCTTACATTTTAGGGTTTGTATGATCTGTCCAGGTTATACTGCAAAATTCTTGGCTTGTGTTCTCAAAATATCTATGTGGAAGGGGAAGAAAACCAAGGAATGTATCACAAGTTCTGTTGGACGGGCTTGTTACCAGTTCACAATAGCTGAACCCTTGACAAATTTGTGTAGTTTTAGGTATGAGGATGTAGCCATGAACCTATATAAAGCAAGGTTTATTTTGTGGTTGTACAAGACCAGCCTCTTGTCTCCATCTGGAGGAACCACTGAATGTGGTGACACCAGGCTTTGTTGGTTGCTGTCTGAAAATGGCAATGACTGGGTGTTTACTGCTTGTCACAGGCCTGCAAACATTTACTCATGTAGGTAAACAATCTCAATTCATTCCCTCGTGATTAGTGAGTCGGTGGAATTAATGAGTGTACGAGATAGTTGTATCTACCTTCAAGCTAATTTTCTAAAGGCATTAGCTCCAGCAGAATCTGGTCAAGGATGAAATCTTTATTATGTAAGAATATTTCCACACAAAGTGTCATGAGTTATTAAACTTCACCTTGTATCTGTTGCTGCTTTGCATTTAAACATTCCAACTAGTTGAGTGTAATAACAACCTACAATTTTACAGTGGAAAGGTGAAATCCAGGAGTTCTGTCCGAACACCAAGATGCTTTTGGTTGGTTGCAAGTCGGATCTGCGCACGGATGTCAGCACGCTCGTGGAGCTTTCCAACCACAGGCAGACCCCCGTGTCCTACGATCAGGTATGTGCTGCTTACTCTGTGCTTAGAGGGGGGAGATAAGACCCTTTTCTTTTGCTGTAGCCATTTTGATGAACAACTTCTGTCCTAGAAGTCGGATGCACATTCTCTAGTGGTAGATGGAGGTGATTTTGAAAGCTGTTATTAGTAAAGACAAAGCCTGTCCACAGACTGGATGCAGCAGAAAATCACACAGCCCCACAACATGTGCTTTAAGTGTCATAAGTTTGTAGTCTTCTTGGTTGCACAAAGGTTTTAAGTGTATTGAAAATAAACTTACCACTTTTCTGGGTCTGCAGAGGCCAAAACAGCACCGAGAGGTGACATGTCCTGTGGATTTACTGACAAATTGGTAAAATTCATAGAATCATAGAATTGCCCAGGCCAGAAGGGACCTCCAAAGGTCATCTAGTCCGACCTCCCCGCAGTCAGCAGGGACACCCCCAACTAGACCAGGTTGCCCAGGGCCTCATCGAGCCTCACCTTGAATATCTCCAGGGATGGGGCCTCAACCACCTCCCTGGGCAACCTGTTCCAGTGCTCCACCACCCTCACAGTGAAGAACCCTCTCCTAATTGTTGTCTTTGGACTTTGGATTTGAATGTCATTCATTTGACTTCAGTGTCATGACAAGTATTGTACGTAATCTGTCTCCTTTAAAATCCTGTTGCCTTAAAACACCTGTGAAAACATCTTATAGCTCCCTCTGAAGGTGGCAGCAAATCCAGAAAGCATCTTAATTCTTGGCAGCAGTTCTGTGCTGTTGAAAAAGTGACAAGTTTGAAGCCAAGGCATCAGGGGATAGAGAAACAAAGGTGTAAAGGAAAAGGAATGAGGTCATGGGAGAGCAGGAGGTGGAGGACAGGGGAAAACTGGGCTCTAAGGTAAATTTCCCCTTATTACTCACACGTGTGTGTGTCGTGCTTTGAGGCTGAATCACAGTGGTGGTTTGAGAAGACATCCTGTAGGGTGTAAGAGTGAGGATGGTGCCTCCAGAAGGAACTTCAGCCCGTGTGAATATCCTGTGCTGTCAAATATTTTTTTTTTTTTGCTGTTTTATCTACAACCTCAGATTTTCCAAACCACCAGCTCCAAATGGAGATTACTTAATAAGGCAGCCTCCCACAGCATGTTTAAATTGCAAAATGCAAAGATACCATAAACTTGAGTATCTTAATTAAAATAGAACATGAGGTGGTGTACTGTGCTTGTGCTGCTTATGGCATTTTTTTCTACACTTCACTCAGTAAACATCCCTCCATCTCAGACAATTTTATATGAAACTAAATGCCAATTTTTTTACCTGAGTTTAAAACAATTCCCAAGTGTCCTTAAAAACCCTGCTTGTTGCAGAAGATGTTGTCCTGGTTCCAAATTACTGCTGTATTTATGTTGTTAACCTCAGAGCTGCAATTTTCCATACTGTTTCTCTTCGAATATTAAACTTAAAAGGAAATACTCTCTGCTGCTTGTTCCCTACACAACTTCACGTACTACATTTTGTGCAGTACTTTAATAGAATCACTAAGTCTGGCCCTTTTCCATAGCGAATAAAAATCTGTTGACAGATGGATTTTTATCCTCTGGTGTTGAAGATTCACATATCTTCTGGTGGCCCAGCTTGGCCTGTACCCCTTAGGAACGGGAGTCAGCTGAAGACAAAAGTCTTAAGCCAGAAGCTATTACTTGCAGCCAAAGGGAAAATTGCACATGTTGGAGGGAAGGTGGTACTTGAGCAAACTCACAATTTCACCTGTGCTCTACCTAAAGTGTAAACTTACACCGAATAATGGTTTTATCTCATGTGGTGGCCAAAGCCTGGTGGTGACATGAAGCAACCCACCGCTCCCCTGCACTAATTCTAGGGAAGGGTCCTCTGGAATAATTGCACAACTTCTTAAATTCCCTTGTCTTGTGAGGTTGATGTGGGATCAAAGAGCTTAGTGGGGTTTTCCCATTCCTCTTAACTTCACAAGGAAGCGCTGGGAGGACAAAGGCAGTTGATGGTGACACCCTGTCTCCACTTTGCCAGCCAGTTTCCAGTCAGCTACACCTGAGCAAACATTTGTCAGGCTCTAAGAGCTAGGCTGGGCTTGGTTAGTAGGACTTCAGATGTTTAATCATGGAGAAGGCTTGTTCTACAAACTGATACTCCTTTATCAGCCGCTCCTATTTAAAACTGATAAGTTGATCACTGCAGCACAAATAAGTCAAGACGTGGATCCAAATAAAGTAGTGCCCTCAGCCTGGGACTAGAGCAAGGAGAAGTTGGACTGACCTGTGCCTGGATGAATATGTGAGGAGTGGCACATCAAGGATGTGGCTGGATTTTGTTACTTACTAAAAAGGCTCGCCCTCAGAAATAAAATTCCATTGAAACAACTAATTTTTTTTTTCCGTACAATGCTGTATTGTCTTCCTGTGGCAAAATCCACAACAGGATACACAGGATATTGTCATCTGCTGGAGTTGCTTGTTGTTTTCCTTGTGCTGCTGGGACAAATATCCCTGCTTTGACTTCTAATGCACTTAAAATCACGAAAGAAGGGCTCGTATAACTGCTGGTGTCCTTTCTAGCCTTCTTTTTTTATTTCCTAGCTACAAGTTGATCTATTTATTTCCCAGCCCAGAAACCCACAGCACATTCCCCCTATGAACTTTGCCCCCTCGGTGGAGATGTAGCACAGCTCTGCTCTAGGTCAGGGGCACGCTGGCTACCCTGTAAGGTAGCCAAAATACATTTTCTCTTGGAGATAGCAGGCTTAAATCTGAAAACTGCCAGGTCTGGACCTTTCCCAGCGAGCACATGATTCCCAGAGTTAAGGTGTAAGGGTGGAATTGGACATGGACATGCCTGCTGGACATGAGCAGGCAGTGGGCAGCTGCAGCCCAGAAGGCCAATCCCATCCTGGGCTGCATCAAAAGAAGCGTTGCCAGCAGGTCCAGAGAGGTGATTCTGCCACTTTACTCTGCTCTGGTGAGACCTCACCTGGAGTATTGTGTGCAGGTCTGGAGCCCTCAATATAAGAAGGACATGGACCTGATGGAGAGGGTCCAGAGGAGGGCCACAAGGATGATCAGGGGGATGGAGCACCTCTGCTACGAGGACAGGCTGAGGGAGCTGGGGTTGTTCAGCCTGGAGAAGAGGAGGCTCCGGGGAGACCTAATAGTAGCCTTCCAGTACCTGAAGGGAGCCTACAGGAAGGCTGGGGAGAACCTGTTTAGAAAGGCCTGCAGTGACAGGACGAGGGGCAATGGCTTCAAGCTGGAGGGGAACAGATTTAGTCTGGAGATTAGAAGGGGGTTCTTCACTGTGAGGGTGGTGGAGCACTGGAACAGGTTGCCCAGGGAGGTGGTTGAGGCCCCATCCCTGGAGATATTCAAGGTGAGGCTCGATGAGGCCCTGGGCAACCTGGTCTAGTTGGGGGTGTCCCTGCTGACTGCGGGGGGGTCGGACTAGATGACCCTTGGAGGTCCCTTCCAGCCTGGGCAATTCTATGATTCTATGAATTGCTAAATAGGTCCCACTAATGGGACCTTCTCTGGCTTTCTGCAGCTGTTTGCAGGTCCCTGAGCTTATCTTCTCTCATCCAATTCCTATTTATCAGCCTAGGAGATGATGCCCGGATACTTGTTTAATGCCTCTTGGAAGCAAAGCTCTGTTTATTTTGCAAAATTAGCTGCTGGCTGTTGTGTCGGAGCTTTAGCTTTTGGGTTTTGTGTACGGAAAACAGCGCTGAAAAGTAATTGTATGGTTTGCTTTGGCTCTCTGTGGAAACTTGGTATTGATTGCATGTTGGGTTGTTGTTTTTTTTTTTTCCCCCTTAGGGTGCAAATATGGCCAAACAGATTGGAGCAGCCACGTACATCGAATGCTCAGCCTTACAGTCGGAAAACAGCGTCAGAGACATTTTTCACGTTGCCACCTTGGCGTGTGTGAATAAAACAAACAAAAACGTGAAACGAAACAAATCGCAGAGGGCAACAAAGAGGATTTCACACATGCCTGGCAGGCCAGAACTGTCCACAGTGGCGACGGACTTGCGAAAGGACAAAGCAAAGAGTTGCACGGTGATGTGAAAGGACCTCGGGTTTTCCTGGAGAAGGGAGGAAGAGGAGCGTCCGGGAGGGGTGAAGGCTCAATGAAGTACCCAGCCACATGGTATTTTATCGAGGGCTTGTTGCCAGCGCTTTCAAAACGGAGACTCTTCGCCTCTTTGTGTGAGACTGTGTTTAGGAATTGAGCAGCGAGAAGAAATGGCTCTGCACGAGGTGGCATCAGGAAACGATAACGTTGAAGAAAATGCCAAAAAAAAAAAAAAAAGCCAAAAGGAAAAAAGGGAAAGGTGTTTGTGTGTGCTGAGAAAAGAGAGAGTGAATGGGAAAAATAACACTGCAGAGAAGAGAGATGTCATTGACAGTGCTTGTTTCTTTTATTAACGCTCTACTCCTGGATGCTACCACTTTGATTTCATTAAAATAATACTTTACTGTTTGGTTTTTTTTTTTTAAAAAAAGACGTCGTTATTAATATGCCCTCCTCATTAAGGAACTACCCCTGTGACCTTCTAGTTGGTTTTCCAAAGGATATGATCTAATTTTTTTAGTAGCTCATCGTTAAAATGGAGAGGATGCCGAGGCCTGTGTGTCACTGAGAGGAAAACACTCTACGTGAGAAGTCTGGAGTTTTGCCTTCCTGAGACAGCAGCGTTTGAGCACGTTGGTAACGAAGACAACCATTTGAGATTTCCCAGTATTACCAGTGCCCCTGCACTGTGGATATTACATGGATCAAATTGGGGTGTTGGGGGGGCAAAATCTGCCCCCGTTGCAGGACTCTCTGACTTTGTGTTCCTCTTTGTGATTGTGATTTAGAGTGGAGATGATCTTCCAGTTCTGGTGTGTACTGTATGGGTATGTTGCTGTAGGTTCAAGTGAAAGGTGCTAAGAGCTATGATGACAAATGATCCTTAATTTTACAACCATGATAATTGGTTAAGCCTTACTGCCCATCTGGGGAAAGCCCCCAGACTCCTGCTCCTGCTGGGAGCTGGAGAGCGGAGTGGATCCCGGGATCTAGCCCTCCGTAAATGCTATGGAGGTGGTTCTTCTCTGCCATCTTCTTGGCAAAAACCCCAAGAATCTGCAAATGAGCCAGCAGAACCAGATGATGGTTTGTTAGGCTCGTGGTTTTTTGGGGGCTTTGCAGACTTTGGTTGCTCGTGGTGAGGTCTGAAGAACTGTGAACGCCTTAAGGGGTCCCCCAGTAGAAACTGGATACTGCCCTTAAGTCTTTTAAGACTAATATAAACACGTATCCAGACAACAATCCTGAAACATCAGTGAACCAGTTGAGTCAAATTCCTTTTTTTTTGCTTACTGAATACTATTGTTACATGAAATAAATCGGCCTTTAAAATTATTTGCAACTTGTTTACTGACCAACTTAACTCCGTAGCTTCTCTGGCAAGAAGGATGCTGTAAGCTCCATCCAGCCTGGTCTGGTTCCCAAGGGATGATGCTTCATTTTGGAAGTGCTCAAGCTGTGTTCCTCTTGACTTGTGCAAAGGTAAAGGGTTACCATAATTAAAACTCAGTCCTGTGTGTTCCTGGCACTTTGTTTCATCTGAGAAAAGGAAAAACAAACAAAAAAAAAACCAATCCCACAACCCCCGCCCC